AGACATTTTCTGCAATTATTCATCTAATAATTAACTTCCTTATTAAGACTGGTTGCTAAGAACAATCATATATAATATTTGGGGACAATTATACATTTGAGATAATTGACAGAAAGTCACTGAGAGTGAAAAAAATATTTGTACATGCATTGTTATTGAAAATATACCTCAGATTTAGAGACTCATTTGCTTTCTTGCTGAAGGTTAGATGGGAAGACACATTCATATCTGTTCGTTAAATATGATGCTACATCCAGGAATTGGTTAGCTTAGCTTAGCATAAAGACTGGGAACAGGGGGGAACAGCTAGCCTGGTTCTATCCTTCCTACTGTAACCTCTTCAGTTCACTAAGAGGTTTTAAAGGGGGTTATGTGACTAAAGGAGCTCCTGGCTGTAGCTTCATATTTAGAAATTAGTGGTATTGATCTGATTACGCTGTTAGCAGGAAAGGGAACAGCGTGATTTTCCCAAATTTTCCCCAAAAATTTGGGGAAAAGTTTTCCCAAATGTCAAATTAAACATTTTCAGGTGCAGTCATGATTCTGGAGAAATACGTTGATATTTGAACCAACCATGTTTCGGAGTTCAGCAGGTTAGCATGTGTCAGATTTACCATCCCACTCGCTCCCAAAGGAAACCCTTTCCAGGGCAAAGTAGCCGAAGTAGTTTGGATTAGGATCTCTGACTGCACCTTTAAGGAACATCATTCCACCCAGCACTGCTTTCTTATTGTATCTGCATCAGTGTAGTCGATTCCTTAAACCTGACCACCCCCACCCCAAGGCCCCATCAAAGCTCCCTGGGGATGATGGTGAAGGGCCGGATGGGGCAGGAAGCCTCCAGCTCCAGGGCTGTCAAGAAGCAGTCCGGGGCCTGGCTGGACCCCCGAGACTGCAGGGCCTCGCCCAGGCCGCTCCACGCCTCGTGCGAGGTGCTGTGGACCTGAACTGCATCACGCAGGACCTTCTCCCCGAGGTGGACACGCCCTGTTTTCACCAGCAGGCGGCCCTGGATGGACAGATGGAGAGGGGGGTTGAAAGAGAAGAAATGGAGTCCTGCATAATTTATACTACCAGTCAATTTCAGTCAATTGAAGGTATTGATAGAAGAAAATCCGATTTCTGGTGGATATAAGTACATGCTGGTTAAAATAAAAAAGTAAAATGGAACAAAGTGCTATTTAATTTTCTTTTTTTTAGACAAAATCTACTTGATGAATTAGTTGTGTTAAAACTGAATTAACCCCTCTTTTGGGGTAAGTTACAGACTAAAAGTTGACCTATGGCATGCTCTCATTTTCACAATACAGAATAATGATATTACATTTTACTTCAGTACCTTGCCCCTAATATTTGTTGTTTTTTTATCCTAAATATCTACCATTAAAACATTTTTCCACGGCATGATAAGATCAAGTAAACAGATGGTGGCTTTTTACAAAAAAAAATCCAAATCTTGGATTATAATGCCTGCTGTCCTGTGGACTCGTTTAGCACGACAAAAAAAAACAAAACAGCAACAACAACCAACTACTGCACTTGACTACAGTCGTACTGGGATTGTACAACTGAAGGGAGAAAATCCACAAATCACGAGATTAGGAGCAGGCCTCTGCTGAAAGATGAGGCAGTATGTTAGGAGTCTGACACACAGTAATGAAAGTTGAAGCTGTATTCGGGTCAGAGGACAGACTGCAGAGGGAAAGGTTTGTGATTTTACTGGTTTAAAGGTCCAGTGTGTAACGTTTATCTATGGCAGAAATTAAATATAATATTCATAGGAGTGTTTTAATTAGTGTTTAATCACCTGAATATAAGAATCAGTGTGTTTTTGTTACCTAAACTTGTAAATCACTGAGGTACCGCTGTCGTTGCACCCGTTTCCGTTGCACACTAGTTAGTTGTGTGTTTGCACAGTAAGCCATGCTGTTAGCTAGCGAGCTAACTAATGAATCTTCGCTCTCTGTCACTAAAGATTGAAGATTGATTGATATTATTGGTTGAAATTGATTAGTTAATGCTTATGTAAGTTTTTGTTTTACAGGAAGAAAAAAAAAGGATTGGTTTTCGATATATATAAAAATGTAGTTGAAGTTAAAGTTTTTGGCATATATATTGCAATCAATACAAATCCATTACGGTCCATTGGAGGGGCAGGAAAAAAAATGGTTTTACACAGTTTGTGCTAAATTGCCCAGAACATTCAAAATACATTGGCGTGTTCCTTACAGAACATGTTATTCCAAAGTCTTTATTTGCAGTGGCATGTTGGGCAACTACTGCCCAGGGCTCTGGTGGGTTTGCATGCAATCTCCACACTCGCTGGTTTTATACTGTATGAACGTATATACACACACACACACTGTGTATCTGTGTCGAGGAAGGAAGGGACGAGAACTGGCATTTCATGTAGACTGTATGGATATATAATCATCTAATAAATGGGTTGTTGGACCCGATGTGTAAGAAAAAACAAGTATAAAGTGGCAGTATGTGAGAAAGAGAAGGATATCACGGGTGATATCTGTTGTCACCATGTTAAAGGTCACGCAGAACTTTGTGTCTCTTCAGCGCTCGGCTCAGTCGGGGTGCGTTGTGTGTGAGAGCCCGGCAGAAAAGGGCGTCACGCAACTGACCAACAGCATGGAGTCAAATCTGTCTCTCTCACACACACACACACACACACACACACAAGCTACAGTGTCACATGCACACTCAAGGTGACAACAGGCAGCCACTCTTGCACAATATCATCCCCTCCCTTACTTTGACTATCTGTTACACACACACACACACACACACACACACTTACACACACACACACTCTGAGCTGGCCTGAGGTCAGACAGACGAGTCTTGTTATGCAGTCTCTGCTCACAAGCTCCAGATTAATTGGGCTGAAATTCACATAGCTGTCTAGGGGCACTGATGCAACTTTCAATAAAAGCACACACACATGCACACTTTCTCCCTTCCTCCCTTTTCCTCCCTGCTGCTGTGAGGAAAACACAGAGGAAAGATCGAAAACTCCTGGGTACGGAGAAAACCTGTCACAGGAAGTACACACTGGGTTATGAGTGTGTGTGTGTGTGTGTGAATGCACGAGTGTGTGTGGGTGTTTGCTCGAGGTGTATGATGTATTCCTTGCCGATGGTTTGGTCACTAGCTACCGCATCTTATGTCTGCGCTCTTGTCTCCAGACTCACAGGGGTTACATTGTTCCAGCGTTTCTAGCATAAACACAGTTGGTTACTGGGCTAACACACACACACACACACACAAACACATATACACACACACTTCCATCCGTGCCACATGTCAGTTATGCTGGTAACCATGGAAAAGTTGATCCTTCCAGGTCAGCAGCTCAATCAAATAAACACCGCTGTATGTGCTGTGGTCGGATATAAACACAGAGAGAGGCCGAGACAAAGTGGGACAGGAAAGCACACACACACACACACTAT